CGCTGTGGCCACTTTCTCGATCGGAATCGGAATCTGCCCTGCACTGGGGCCCGGCAATTTATGTTTAATTAAGCAATTTCAGCAACGAATCGAAGATAGCATTTGGCCAATTAGCATGTCAGTCGGCGAGAGAGTCGCAGCGGGGGGTGGGTTGGGGTTGGGGCATGGGGCATGGGTAGGCAGATTGAGTATCAATTTGATTGCAAAACGGAAAGCAGAGATTCGTTGCAAGTGGTGGAAATGGAAGTGGAAATGGAATTGGGCAGAGGGTTAGTTGGGGTGGGATCTGTGCGGTCGCAAGTGGATGATGATGTGTGGAAGTTGTTGCTCAATCTATTTTGAATCCAAGGCGAAGTCTTCGCATTCTCTGGTGGCTGAGTCCCGTCTCTGAGTCAGCAAAACAAACAATGATGCAGCTGAGCCCTGGAGGGGGGAATATTCGTAGACGTATGTGGGGGATTTGAGGGTTGCGGACATCTGACACGAGAGATAACAACAAACGCTGTGTGGAGTGGGGACACTTATTCTCCCCACCCCCCAAATACAGCCACGCACTATCTTGTATCTTTTTGTATCTTTGAAATTGAAGAACTGAACACCACCACCCCCCACCCCCTCCCCCCTCCCACACACTACATGAAAGATCAAAAACTTTTCTTTCCTCTTTCCTGGTCAGTGCGCATCGATGTTTTCACTCGAGGGATATGGAAAAGGGAAAGCGTTTTGGCAATTATGCAAATCAGAGGGCATTTGCATGCTTCGGGCAAGACCAACGAGCTGGAAAATTTTAATTAAATCGAGAAAAGCTAGACTCCAAAAATCACAACAAGAAAACTACTCCTCTGCACTCCCTGCTCACTTCCCCTCTCTCACACGTTTCCCTGCGCCCAAGCCTCATTAAGTTTTACGTCTGCTCTTTCTGCCTCTCCCTCTCCCTCTTTCTCGTCGTCTCGTTTCATCATGTTGTTGTATTTATTATTAAGGCTCTTTTTTGTTGTTGCTGCTATTCAAATTTAGAAGTAGAATGCACTCTCCCCTCTCCCACCCCAGCCGCCAGGCACTGTTGGGCCAAGTGTAAATACAGAAAGGTAGGGGGAGTGAGAGGTGGTGATGTGGAGAGTTGCAGGTGCAGTAGTCCCAGGGCCCAGTCCCCCCCACTAAAGGCAATGAACAGTGGAGTAGAGAAGTGAAGTGAAGATGTCGTCGCCAGCCACAAGGCATCCTCAGGATAGAGCGGGATGTGTGTATAGTGTGTGTGTTCATGTGCGTGTGCGTGTGTGTATACTCCACTCCCGCTATGCAGGAGGTAGAGACCGCTCTTTGAGTTCATTTTAATTTAGCATACGCTCAGCCCCACTCACTCACACACACTCATACATAACACACATGCATATATTTAATGTATATGTATGCCAGACCATACATACATACATTCATATTGTCGCTCATAAAATGATAAAGCGATTACTAAATCTTTATCGCGTTTTATTCAATAAATGGAAATTAACTCTAATGAATAGGCATTGGGTCAGACGACACCTTCTCTTCCTACCACACCCCATGCCAGCCAAAAGTCCACTCCCTAGCAAATTTGCCAATGTGTATAAAATGTTGAACAAACTTTTGTCAAATGTGGGACAACAAATGCCTTGTTTATCGCGCTGCAATCCTCTCAATACAGCTGTAGCTGTGTTGTTGAAACTTTCAAGACGCCGGGCGGGGCAGAGAGCAAACGAAATACAAAAAAAAAAAAGAGCTGCGATAAGACAAGAGAATACATCAAACGGCTGCTGATAAACAGTTAAATACGAGCGCTATTGCATGCAGGGTGGATGAAGGGAGAGGGTGGAGTGTGTGGTCTAGAAAAAGAATTACTGTAAGGGAAGAACAGACTCAATTCCAAGGCATTTCGCATTACAAAAACCCAAATCGCAGCTCAATGTCGTTTGCCAACTTATCTTCCCACTTCTACCCCTGCGCTCCCCCCTGTGTGGCACACTCTTCCAATAACGTATCATAGAAGGCAACGTTAGATTACATTTTATGAGTACAGTGGTCACCCCCGTAATTGTAGCTTGCATATAGAGAAAAAAATGAACATTTGGTTCAAACTATCCGATATATCGGTTTAAAAACTAAATATAAAATTGATTTTTAAAATTAGAAAATATCCCAACTATTATGAAATGGTTTTAGTTTCTGAGCCACCACTGTAAACGCACCTGACCACGCCCTGCAGCGGAACGGCAACTGTACGGGGTGGTAGTGGTGGTGGTTGGCGTTAGTGGGGTGACAGAAGGAGCATTAAGTACGCGAAATGATTTTGACAGTAAGTACAAACGCAAACACGCACAAAAAAAAGTCAGAAAAGTGGCAGGGGCAGAGGCAGAGGTAGAGGCAAATGCAAACATGTGTAAATAACAAGTGCAAACAAACAATGATGAACGGGTCTCCGTTCGAGTGTTAACTGATTACAATAGATATCGTGCATTTGAGTGGGTTTTCTGTTCCACTCCGCTGTTCCATTCTACCTGTACCACCACTCCAGTCTACCTGTAGCGCTGGCTGCCCTGCCCAAAGCCCCCAGCATGTCATATCTATTGATCATCACATTGCACTGGCATAGAAAAGGTCAACAAAGCGAATGTGCCGCAAAAAAAAAAAAATTCACACGTACTCGTACGTAAAACGGGTCGCGATTAGATATTTCATGGTCACTGCCAATGAATAGGCTGGGATTTGTCTTACATACACACACACAGACAGCCAGACACAGAAACACAGATATGTGTAGAGACAATGGATATGGATGCTTGGGTTGCAGTCGCGTTGCAACTGAGTTCACATCAGTGGCTGAGGCTGAGGCTGAGGCTGATGCAGGCAGGCAGGCAGATGATAGAAAACAGGTTTTCGTTTCAAGAGCAAATCTCAGAATTCTGTGCTAGTGTTGAATGAGCGGCGGGCGGAAAAACAGGATGAAATTGAAAGAAAAACGAAATTGGTGTGTGAGAGAAATAGGAGAACGCAGTCGACCGCATGGCCATCGAGTGCAAGCGAGAAGGTGCAACAAGTTACCGTACAAAACGCAGCTAGCACAGCGGGGGGCAAGAGAGCGCTCAACAACAGCTAGACTCCAGAGAGACAGAGAGAGGGGGAGGAAGGCAGGTAAGGAGAGAGAGCACCGCGTGTAGGCGGATTTCTGGGAAGCCACAGGCCAAAAAAAAACAATCGAAACAGTTCATAGACAATATTTTACGGTTGTTTACGCCCGCAGAAGCACTTTGTTTAAACATTACGCTTTGGTGCTATATTCTAGTCAATTTATGGTCATGCTGTAAAGTTTAAACATTTTCACACTCACCAATGCCGAATGCTTGTTTAGCATTGCAATCGCTCCACACAGAAGTCATCTTGTCGCGCTTTTGTTGTTATTTTCGCCAACTTTTACCACAAACACACTCTCGATCACGATCACGCTTACGCTTACACTAACAAGGGGCGACACGCACACATGCAACAACAAATGGACTTTCGTTTGCAGAAAACAGAAAAACAACAAATTAAGCAACACGTAGTTGAATTTCGGTTTCTGGCATTTTCTTCATACCGATAAGTAATTAATAACAAATGGGGACAAAATTAATACACTTATTATTGCACAACGCCTTTCGTTTTATTAATGTTAGTGCTTGTCTGTTACTACAGCATTTAGCGCTGGTTTTTTTTTTCAATTTGTTCTCATTTGGGGAGTTGGCCGCCGACGCTCAGCTAATAATCTCCGCTTACGCTCACGGTCCCGCATACGCACGCACACACACACGAGCGCACATTGCTCGCCGTTTTGTTCAAAAATTAATTAATTTTTCTGTCGAGCTCCCGCGCTGGTTGAATTTTTAGATGTGGTTTGTCAGTGTGACCGCGGACTAGTCGCTCAAATAAACCGCCTGACCCTCAGAAAAATACCAAAAGATACCTCTCATTTTCAAAATATACCGTAAACATACTGACGGACATGCCCAAGATGCGTATATAATTTATAATTTTGATATTCGGTTTAATATTACTAGCTAGTTAGCCCTTTCAGCCCTAAACAAATAATTTTATCCGATAGATACATCAATTTTCCACAAGATTGGCTAGTTTCTGGAAGTCCTTTTTATTGAATTGTTTACATAAAAAGGTTCAAACAAAAACGGCCAAAGCATAAGACGTAAATGTTGACTAAATGTAACGTCATTGTTGCTGGTCAACCAAGATTCTTCTATGCGTATGGACTTTTGTATACCTTATTTCCTTTAATTGATGTTCAATTTGTTGTTTCAGGCTGCTTTGAAATATTAATATTGCATTTTTGTTAGATTGAGTTGTTTTTTACCTATCTATGCATATGTTTTGTGTTTTATATATACATTTATCCCGGTTCTGATACCTATTATTGGTACCCGTGAGCTACAAAGTTTCTTTGATGTCTTTAAAAAAGAGACTGAGTAGATTCTGCATTAATTGGATCCTGAAATTACAAACAATATCTCAAGTCCATAAATCAAGTCAGCAAATTTTGAAAAACCACCACGAATTGAGAGCGAAAAGTGTCAGTATTTTTTGTGCGCTAAATGGAGTTTGGCGGTCATTTTGAAAAGTATATTATTGATTAAATAATATACCGTAAATATACTGACGGACACGACAGGATCCGTTTGATATTTCTTGATTTTGATATTCGATTTAATATTACTATCTAGTTAGCTCACTAAGCCCGAAACAAATTATTTTATGCAATTCATCAATACATTTTGTACAAGATTGGCTAGTTTTCAGAACTCGTTTTTATTGGATTGTCAAAATAATAAGGTTCAAACGAAAACGGCCAAAGTATAAATCGTCGGACTGCAATAACTCAACCTTAGTACACCTTGACTCAATTTCCACGTCAAATAACGACAGTGTAAAATCATTATCAAGTGAAATAAGTTTTTTTTTTTTTTATATTAAGTTATTTTTAGCCGTGATTAGTTGAAAGATTTATTTGGCCCCCAAGTCTGATACGGGCTAACGCCACCTCCTGTGAAATAAGTTTATTTTATATTTATATAGTTGTATGCTAAATAACTAGTCTACACACACTACGCCGATATTTTTGGTAAATACACGCGCGAAGTTATCGATTCGGAAGAGACAGTGAGTGCCATCACCAATTTTCGGACATTGTGAAAAAATCGGCGCGCCATTTCCTCTATTTTTGCGTCGCCCAACAAATTTTGGCCAAACAAACGGCTTGCAAGTGTTTATATTTTATAGTTAACGGCGCCGGAGGATCGGCTAACGAGCAACAGACAGAGCAGCGCACTGCCCCCACGTTGTGAAGGTGTAAAGTTTGCAGCACATTGTGAAATCACGCGCGGTCGACGCTGACGACGGAACAAGGAGCAACAGTCTTAGTGCAGTGCATGTGTTTGCGCTTTGTTTGAGGAGCCCCCGGAGTGACGAAGAAATATGTTTGGCGGCTCGAAACCCACGTTTGGAGCCACGCCCACTGCCACCAGCTTTGGCGGGTTTAGCAACACGGCCACGACCACACCATTCGGTCAGACGGCCTTTGGCAAGCCAGCGGCACCAGCGTTTGGCAACACCTCGACCTTTGCCGCCCAACCCGCCCAGCCATCGCTCTTTGGGTCCCCAGCAACGCCGGCGCAGCCAGCTGGTGGCATGTTTGGGGCCAGTACGTCCAGCGCCTTTGGCGGCACCACCGCAGCGCCCACATCATTTGGAGGTTAGAGACGAAGCGCCAGTCTTCCCAGCAACAGCAGCGTCAGTAATTCGATATTCTCCCCCCTCTTCCTCTTTTGCAGCGTTCTCGCAGCCCCAGCAGCCAGCGAACATCTTTGGATCGACACAGGCGGCACCCAACACCTCGCTCTTTGGCCAGGCAGCAACGCCGGCATTCGGAGCCGCCAAGCCGGCCACCCTGGGCATGACCGCCTTTGGTCAGACGCCAGCAGCACAGCCGACATCGTCGCTGTTTGGTCAGACGACGGCCGCCACCAGCGCATCGGCATTCGGAAACTTTGGCCAGGCAGCGCCCACCACCACAAATGTCTTTGGCAGTGGGGCCGCATCGGCGTTCGCCCAGCCCCAGGCAGCGGCCGTGGGCGGTGGCGTCAATATGGGCACGGCATTGGTCAAGTATCAGCCAACGATGGGCACAGACACGCTGATGAAGGGCGGACAGCCGAACAGTGTGAGCACCAAGCAGCACTGCATCACGGCCATGAAGGAGTACGAACTCAAGTCGCTGGAGGAGCTGCGCCTGGAGGATTATCTCAGTTCGCGCAAGGGTCCGCAGGCGGGCAGCACAGCGGGTGCCTTTGGTTTCGGTAGTCCGGCCACAGCCGCCCAGCCCCCAGCCTCGGGTCTGTTCGGCAGCGCTGTCCAGCCGAGTGCGGGACTCTTTGGCCAGTCGGTGGGTCAGGAGAACAAGAGTCTGTTCGGCACATCGGCCTTTGGTCAGCCGGCCACGAGCAGCGCCTTCGGGGCACCCGCCCAGCAGAACAGTTTCCTCCAGAAGCCATTCGGAGCGACACCCGGCACGGCCTTTGCCCAGCCCCAGGCAGCGGATGCCTCGAATCCGTTCGGGGCCAAGCCGGCCTTTGGCCAGGGCGCCAGCATGTTTGGCCAGGCACCCGCCACCAGTGCGGCCCCAGCCTTTGGCCAGGCCAACACAGGATTCGGCTCCTTTGGTTCGACGGCAGGACAACAGCCGCAACAGACGTCGCTCTTTGGCAGCACCCCCGCCGCGGATCCCAACAAGTCGGCCTTTGGCCTGGGCACAGCTGCAACGGCGGCCAATACAGGCTTTGGCTTCGGTTCCCCGGCCACCAGCACGGCTGGAGGAGGCCTGTTTGGGGCCAAGCCGGCCACCAGCTTTGCGGCGCCCGCCTTCGGAGCCACCTCAACGGCCAACACGGGCTTCGGTAACTTTGGGATGACCAACAGCAGCGTCGCCGCGGGCGGAGGACTCTTCAACAATGCGGGAGGCATGAACAAGCCAGCCACCACGGGATTTGGCGGCTTTGGAGCCACAGCCGCGGCGCCGCTCAACTTTAATGCCGGCAACACGGGAGGATCGCTCTTTGGGAATGCAGCCAAGCCCGGAGGCGGCATGTTCGGAGGAGCATCCACGCTGGGTGGCCAGCAGCAGGGCGGACAAGTGGGCGGCGTCGGAGGAGGACTCTTTGGCGGTGGCACTGGTGCCTTTGGCACAGGCGGTGGCTCACTCGGCGGTGGCGGAGCGTTTGGCAGCCTCGGGGGCAACACATCGATGACCGGCGGCATGGGAATGGGGGCCCACCAGCAGATGGGCGTCGGCGGTGGCATGATGCAGCAATCACAGCAGCCCATCCATCAGCAGATCCTGGCCCGTGTGACCTCGCCCTACGGCGATACGCCCATCTTCAAGGACCTGCGGAACGGCGACGAGGCGGACGCCACGCGTGCCACCAACCCAGCCGCACAGCAGGCGGTGATGGACATGAACAACAAGCAGTTCAAGATCAACACCAACGCGAATCCGGCGCCCGTGAAGGTGAAGGCCGCTGGTACTGTCACCCGAAAGTCCCTGTTCTCGGGTCTCGAGGAGTTCGACGGCAGTGTCGAGGGCTTCAACATCAAGCCGAATTCCAAGCGTCTGGTGATCAAGCCCAAGGACAAGGCTGCCGATATTTCAAACTCCCACTCGCCGGCGAACAGCAGCGGTCCGCACAGCGTCTATACGTCTTTGGGACGCTCCCAGCGAGAGTCCTTTAATGGAGCCATTCCCACTGAACAGACACCGCCAACAGCATCAGCAGCCGCGTCGGCCAGCAGCGCAGGTTTCTCGCCCAGAGACAGCAGAGAGCACCACCAGCAGCAGCAGCAGCAGCAGCAGGACACGAGTCGGCGCGAGTCCTGGCTGCATCCCAAGAATCTGGAGATGGTGCGCCAGCGCAACATCCAGACGGGCATGGACCAGCAGCAGTCGCCCCACAACAGTACCCTCAACGAGCTGGTGCCGCGCAAACCACTCGAGACCTACCGCACCAGCTCCACGATGCGCCTGTCCGTCTCCACCATACCAGAGAACCCGTTCGAGGATCTGTCGCAGACCAGCGCCAGTGCCATTGCCCGGCGGGACACCTTCGGCTCGGAGCAGCAGCAGGCCAATGACAGCGCCCACTCGAATCGTTCCCACGATGACGAGACTTCAGCGAATCGCTCCAGACTGGCCATAGAGGCGGCAGCGGGTGCGGCTGAGGCGGCGGACTATGAGCCACATCCCACGGGGATAGTGCTGCGACGCGTAGGCTACTACACGATACCCTCGCTGGATGATCTCAAGTCGTACCTGGCCGAGGATGGGTCCTGTGTGGTGCCCAATTTCACCATTGGACGCGAGGGCTATGGCAATGTCTTCTTTGGCAAGGAAATGGACGTGGCTGGACTGAATCTGGATGAGATTGGTAAGTGGGGAGCCAGGCAAGCAGCAAACAGCAAGGAACTAATCTCTCTCTCTTTCCGACTGCAGTTCACTTCCGTAACAAGGAGATTATCATTTATCCGGACGATGAGAACAAGCCGGCCATCAACCAAGGCCTCAATCGTGAGGCACAGGTCACCCTCGATCAGGTGTGGCCCGTGGACAAGACCCAGCATGTGGCTGTTAAGGATGCGCAGCGTCTGATCGAAATGGACTGGGAGGGAAAGCTGCGTCGCGTCTGCGACAAGAACGATACGCGCTTCATCGAGTACCGCCCAGAGACGGGCAGTTGGGTGTTCCGAGTGAAGCACTTCTCCAAGTACGGCCTGGATGACAGCGACGAGGAGGACAGCAATGACAAAGTGCCCACCGATCCAAAGAAGGTGAAAATGACGGCCCTCGAGACACATTATCGAGCAGCAGCAGCGGCGGCAGCGGCCCAGGATAACGTGGAGAAGATGACGCTCAATTCGTTGCGGCATGCCCAGCGTATATCCGAGGATGCGGCACGCTCGCTGGATCCCAAGGCATTGGTGGCGAATGTGGCCGGCAGCAGTTTCCGGCCCATGGACGACTCGGCCGAGTTTATGCTAATGGATAAGACACGTGAGTGCAATGAGGAGAGTTGCCTGCCCTTTTTCCATACTCATACAAATGTCTTGCACACACACACAGAATTCTTTCAGGCTGGCGCTGGCACGGACTTCTCCATGTTTGAGGCGCCACGACATCAGCAGCAGACAATTGTCAGCCCCACAGCGATGCTGGCCAAGGAGATGGCCGGCAATGAGCCGCATAAAATGCAACTGATGAAGTCCTCGCTGTTTGTCGAGGACGATGACGCCAGCGAAGATGAAGTTAGAGGTAGAAGCAGCAGCTCAAAGTCATGCCGCGATTCGGTCCACATTACATTTTTTTTTATATTTTTCAGTGACTTCCAACCGCTTTCAACGCCAACGCAACTTGCTTCAGGGAGGGCCCAGCGCCTGGACAGACATGGGCGGAGCCTCTGAATCCTCCAGTCCATACGATTTTGGACGCACATCTGCCGGCCTGCCCGTCTCCTCGTCGGCCTCTGTGACCAGTCTGGTGCAATCAGATGAGGTATAAAGAAACGGAAACCATTCCTTTAGAGTCCAATAAACAACCATGAATCCAATTCAACTCTCATTCAGACCTCTTCGCTGGCCACTGGCAGCAACTTTGGGGATAAACCAAAGGCAGGTGGAACAGCAGCAGCAGCCGCACCCTCCAAGCTGCGGCCGTTTAAGTTTGTGAGCAAACCGAAGGTGGCGCCCGTTAAGGTTTTTGGCACCATAGTGCCACTGAACCGCTCGATTCTGTACGAGCAACGCCACAAATGGGTGGCCGATTTGGGCTTCTACAAGGGACACGGCCTGAAGCTGAGCTTTGGCCCGCACAACACACTGATGGTGCCACAGACGCTGATCAATGTGCGCAGCGCCATAGAAGGTAGAAACCGGCCACATGGCTCTGCCTTTTAAATAATATTTAATTAATTAATTAATGCTCTTTTTTGTTTTGTTTTGTAGATGCTAGCGTGACGCCAGCCTCTCTGGTGTTTATGCCACGTTCGGCCAATGATTTCTCGCCAGTTTTGTGGAAATTGTGCAACTTTAATATGGTGCATGGCCATGCTAGTTTTCGCGAGACAATTGTGCCCCATTTGGAGGTGCAGCTGGGCGAGGGCATTGCCGTGGAGATCGAGAATAGCCAATGCCCATGGCTGCATGCGGGCACTGGCACGCAGCTGATTGCCAAACATCTAAGAGAATCCCTGAAGCTGCGCAACTTTGGAGCCCTCGAGGAATACGGTGTGTCCGTGTGGTCCCTTCTGTATGCGCTGTGGGGGCAGCACGAAGAGCTGGCGGATGAAACGAACGACCCAAACAGCCACTACGTGGTCATGTGTCGGCGCAATCTGTTCTCCGAGTGGCTGGAGAACACCCTAGTGGGCAGGGATCTGCTGACCAAGAAGGTCAGCAGCCACAGCTACCTGGACCACATGCTCGATCTGCTCAGCTGCCATCGCGTGAGCGAAGCCTGCGATCTGGCCTTGAACTACGACGATGCCAATCTGGCGCTGATTCTCGCCCAGCTGGGATCCGGTGCCGTCTTTCGCATGCTCATGGAGGAGCAACTGTTCGCCTGGCAGCAGAGCAAATCGGATAAATTCATCGATCTGAACCGCCTCAAGATGTACATGATGGCGGCGGGTGTCAATATGATGCAATCCTCCCAGGGTACCATCAATCTGATGGAGGACAACAGCTGGCTGACGGTGGTGGGCATGGAGCTGTGGTACTTCAGGGCACCCACCTCCTCCATTACGGACGCCCTAATGGAGTACGACAAGGCCTACCAGTCCGAGGAGTGCTACGCAAAGCCGCCCAGCCCCACCTACAAGGGCGTGTCCACCACTGCAGAGAGGAAGACACCTGTGTACGACCTGCGATACCATCTGCTGCAGCTGTACTCCAAGCGGATGCATTCCCTGGAGGAGACTCTGAATCCCATAACCCACACAAACGATCCCATGGACTTTCGTTTAAGGTAAGACTCTCACTCTCCCTTTGCCCTTAGCCTTACCACCTTAACCTTGCCGTTGCATTCAACAGTTGGCTGCTGCTGCAAAGCTTGTCGGCTTTGGGCTATCGCCACTGCTCGCCCCTGACGGAGGCCCAGCTGACGGTGGACTTTGCCAGCCAGTTGGAGAACGAGGGCCTCTGGCAGTGGGGCATCTTTGTGCTGCTGCACATCGAGAGCCGTGAGCGGCGTGAGAGGGCCGTGCAACAGATGCTGCTGCGCAACGTGAGCGTCTTGGCCCAGGCGGCGCACAACGACGAGGAGCGCTTCATTGTGGAGCAGCTGGGTGTGCCCAAGTCGTGGCTGGACTATGCCAAGGCTGTGCGGGCCGGTTCCCTCGGCCAGCGACATTTGCAGGCGAAGCATCTGCTGACGGCCAAGCACTGGGCGGAGGCGCACGAGATCATCTTTCAGTACATTGCGCCCGATGCCATCATCAATGGTAAGTGCCACAGAACAGAGCAGAGGCGACAGACCAATACAGTCGTTAATTTGCTGCTTTGCTTGAACCTTTTGCAGGCAAGACGGAGTATCTGCATCGTCTGCTCATCCAGTTCGAGGACACCGAGGGCAGCAGCAGCAGCATCCGAGTGCCGAACTGGGCCAATCAGGGTCAGATATTCCTCGACTATATCGATATCAGCTCAAAGTTCAAGCAGATACGGAGCGTGCAGAATATTGAGGACATCAAGGCGCGCTGGGAGAACCTGAAGCCACAGCTGAGCGAGATCTGTTCGCGCATCAGCCTGCTGCCGTGCCCCACGGCCAAGCATCGTCTGTGCCAGACGGAGATCTCGCAGAGCCTCAACTGTCTGGTGCATGGCATGTGCATTGTCAGCCCCCAAATTCAGTCCTCCGCCGTACTAAAAGTGGCACTCGAAAAGCTGCCGATGCCCCAGGAGTTCCTTTCGAAGGAGTTGCGCATACTGCTGGACGAGCTGCTGGAAGATCTGGAGCAGAAAACTACCTTCCGTGAGCGGATCAGCGGCATGGATATCACCTAAGCCAAAACGGAAAATGCACGAAAATTAAAGTTAAGATCGAATCTAAGTCTAGATATAACCACTGATTAGCATCTACCCTAAAAAATAAAAAAAAAAACAAGAAGACAGAATTAGAGTAAGATTACGATCTAAGCAAAACGTTTCGTCAACGGTGAGAGGGAGAGAAAGGGAGATCACGTTCACACCACAGTTATTATAAATGTCTTTGTTATTTTGTTAATTCGATTATATTTCCAATTTCTTGCACGTGTGACTATCATTATGTAAGACCTTTTTGGTAAACAATAAAATTGATTTGATTGTTTTTACACACTAAAAGCCACAGCTCAGCTTCAGTCATTTCATTTCCATTCCCCCCAATTCAAACGCGATAGAAGATCGTCGTGTTGTGCCTATCGATCGGATGTAGGGCTGCAAAACAGTCGCCGCCAAAGCTGATATGAAGCGTAGACTCAATACGCCGCCGCCCCCGATAAGACCAGGTGTGAATGTGGCTGGGGTGTGTCCATCAAGAAACTGCATTTAATAACAAAACTTTGCCCAGCAGCTATGGCCGACAAACCAAGTGCGCCAGCCACAGCCCCTTGGTGTGGACGTGACTACAAGCCGCGCACTTTTGATAAGCACACGCCTGTCGTGTGCTACGACAAGCCCAGTGCATCCATTGTCTCCCATAAGGAATACGATGTAACACCCATATCTAATCGAATCCAATCCAATTCCAAGCTAACACGATCTCTGTTGATCTAGGACAAACGCTACCTGGCCATCACTGGAGAACTGGTGCAGACGCTGGTAGTGCCCAAGCGTGAGGCGCGCACCTGGACAATGCAGGCGGGCGATCTCTGCCGCATCACAGTACACGAGGGCGCGCAGGTGGGCGATCTGAACTTCTGGAATCTAGAGAACACCCAGGAGCGTTTCTACTCGGGCAAGACGCGTCAGCTGCACGCCTCCCACCTGAGGGTCTACGATCGCCTTTGGAGCTGCCTGCCCCACCTGCGCCCCATGGCCACATTTGTGTTCGACTCACTGGCCGGCTATGGCATCGACGAGGACGGTGCCGCTCTGCATGATGTGATCGGAACGCGCTGCGATGATTATACCTACAAGCTGATAACGGGCCGAGATCGCGTCGGCAGCTGCCACAGTTCGCTGGTCAAGGCAGTGGTGGAGGAGCGCGGCCTGACCGAGCAGGATGTCCACGATGTGTGGAATATATTCATGTGCACCGGCTTCACCAGGGACACGCAGCAGTATTTCTGCAAGCCGAGTCCCGCACGCAAAGGGGATTTCATCGAGTTTGTGGCGGACATGAATCTGTTGGTCGCTCTGAGTGCCTGTCCCCAGGGCGATGTCTCCATACAGGTGGGAGCGGAGGTGCCCGACGACAAGTGTCACCCTCTGAAGGTGGAGGTTTTTCGCAAGAAGTAGCAGGAAAGTTTCCATTACCCGATCCAGCGGAATTCCGTTCAAAATCTTGAGTATAAGATAGAGATGCGCAGACTTTTGGCTTAAAAAAATTAACAGTCACATGTGATGCAATTATGGAAATTAAATGTATAAATAAATTGTACATATTGGCAGACTAAGATTATTAAATTTAATCCGAGCTACACTGCTGGTGATTTGGGTTTCCATCCCCTCTAGGCTTTCAATCTATTTCTAGCCAAAAGTGTCAGAGCTATTGCTTTGTTTTTATATTCCTTAGTGTGACCAAAGCGGTGTGTTATTCTCTTATACGCCACTTTGTTTTGCCAGATGTAAAACAAACGCCGAAACAACAAACTGGAATAAGAAAAATGAACGAGATTAGCGGCGAAGACAACGTGGAGAAGCTGCGCAGCTATATACTGCGGCCGGATATAGCCATTCCCCAGCCCGATGTGCTGCCACGGCAGATTGATCCGATGCGCCTGTTGCATGTCCCCAAATGCCCGGGCAGCACCAAGCTGATGCCGCGCCGTGACCTGAGCGGAGAGATACTCGAGTTCGTGGAGGTGGATCTGGAGGATGTGGGGGCCAATGCCAACAATTCGATGTCCATGCAACGGGAGCCGGGCCTGCTGGAGGAGGCGACGCGTGGCTCCCACCTGAACTATCCCTTCTGGCCGGGTGGCTTTGACGAGCAGCGACAGCAGATGGCTGCCTTGGATGTGGATTGCTTTGATTTTGGCGACAGTCTGCTGACGGTGCCGCCGGGCTTTGCCACAGGTCATGACTTCGCCCAGAGGCAACCCGCGGATGGAGCTCCGCCAGTGGCAGCAACGACAGTCGATCTGCTGGACAATCTGGAGCAGGATCTCGATGTGCAGGAATGGATGCAGATGACGCGAACTGAGAATGAGGCTGGCAAGGGACCGCAGCTGGATCTGAAGTTTCCCGCCCCCTCCACCGAGTACCAGGATGTGGACGATCAGATTATGAAAGCGGATCTCAAGCCGATCCTGAACATCTCGACGACGGCGAAGACGTTCAGCAGTGATTGGGCGGAAATGGTGGACATTAGCCAGCCGATCAGCAACTTCAAGGAGCAGATACCCTGCCCCGCAATGGATTTCCCCTTCGAGCTGGACGTGTTCCAGAAGCAGGCGATCCTCAAGCTGGAGAAGCGACAGTATGTGTTTGTGGCGGCCCACACATCGGCCGGCAAGACGGTGGTGGCCGAGTATGCCATCGCACTGTCCAAGCGGGATCTCACGCGCACCATTTACACGTCCCCGATCAAGGCGCTCTCCAACCAGAAGTATCGCGACTTTCGCAAGACCTTCAAGGATGTGGGCCTGATAACGGGCGATCTGCAGATCGAGCCGACCGCCTCCTGCCTGATCATGACCACCGAAATCCTGCGCTCGATGCTCTACTGCGGCAGCGACATCACCCGCGACCTCGAGTACGTGATCTTCGATGAGGTGCACTACATCAACAACCCAGAGCGCGGCCATGTGTGGGAGGAGGTGATCATACTGCTGCCGGACCATGTCAATATCATCATGCTGAGCGCCACAGTGCCCAACACCATGGAGCTGGCCGACTGGGTGGGCAGCACCAAGAAGCGCAAGGTCTATGTGATCAGCACGCTGAAGCGTCCGGTGCCGCTGCAGCACTTCCTCTACACGGGTGCGGGCGGCAAGAGTCGCGACGACATCTTTCTGCTGGTCGATGCCAATGGCAAGTATCTGCAGGGCAACTACGAGAAGGCCGTGGAGCGCAAGAAGGAGATGCAGGGCAAATCGAAGGGCGGTGCCGGTGCCAGCGGGCCCAAGAACTATGTGAATGCCAAGCAGGAGCAGTACACGTGGATTGGGCTGATTGATTTCCTCAAGCGCAACAACAAAATGCCCGTGGTGGCATTCACGTTGTCGCGCAATCGATGCGACACCAATGTGGCCGCCCTTCAGTCGGTCGATCTCAACACGGAGAAGGAGAAGGGAGCCGTGCAGAAGTTCTTTCTGCAGTGCCTGGCCAAGCTGAAGCCACCGGATCGCAGCATTCCGCAGGTGCTGGTGCTCAAGGATGCCCTGGAGCGGGGCATCGGTGTCCATCACAGCGGCATTCTGCCCATACTCAAGGAGATTGTGGAGATGCTGTTCCAGAATGGTCTGGTCAAGCTGCTCTTTGCCACCGAAACCTTCTCGATGGGCGTCAACATGCCCGCCCGCACGGTCGTCTTTGATTCGCACAAGAAATTCGACGGCTTGGAGGTGCGCAATCTGAAGCCGGGCGAGTACATACAGATGGCTGGTCGGGCGGGTCGCCGGGGCCACGATGAGACCGGCACCGTCATTGTGCTGTGCAAGGGAAATGTGCCGCCCTCGATGGAACTGCGTCCGATGATACTCGGCCTGCCGGAGAAGCTGCAATCACAGTTCATCCTGCGGTATGCCGTCATCCTCACCTGCCTGCGCATCGAGAGCATCAAGGTGGAGGACATTATGCAGTTCAGCTTCAAGGAGTTCAACCAGAAACTGCAGCTGCCAACGCAGCAGAAACAGCTGCGCATTGCCGAGGATAAGTTCGCCATGCTGCCCGCCCTGGGGGAGCATCTGCAGCCGCTGGTTCAGTTCTACGACAAGTCCATACAGTACTGGAAGGAGAAGCATCGCGTTATGGTTAGCCCCCTCTACCCACTTGTTTGTGTCGCTTATTTAATGGCCTGATCTTTGCAGAAATTCATCGTTACGCAGGCCAAAATCCAGAAGGAACTGAAGGTGGGTCGCGTCATTGTCATCACGCAGGGCATGCACTTCAACAAGTTGGCCATTCTGCTGAACATCAAGTCCGTGCTGGGCAAGGACACCATGTACAAAGTGCTCGTCCTGGATCATCAGTTCAAGGCCAAGGAGAACGAAGGGGGCCTCCACCTGCTCAATCGCGGCGAGTTCTACTACAAGATACTCTCGCTGACGCCCAAGAACAAGTTCTTCCAGCCGGAGGGAATCGGCGGCCACGCTGTGCTGGACATCATGGCCATTGATATTGTGAGCATCACCAAGTCCACGTTCAAGGTGGACGCGGACATTATCATACGCAACTGGGAGCAGCGGCAGCTGGAGCGTTTCAAGGACACACCGCCGGGTGCCACGGTGGTGAAGGCGGTCGCCGATCTGCATCAGCTCAATGAGAATTATATCGCCAATGCGGACAGCATCAAGTGCATCAATCTGGCCAAGGAAATCAATGTGAATGCGGACACCGAAGTGGATCTGCTGCAGTCTGTCGAGCAGTTAGGCCGCCAGATGGCCAAGCTGCTGCCACACACAAATATTGCCGGATTCGAGCAGGAGTTCGCCAAGGTCTACGAGCGACGAATGCTGGAGATGCACATCGAGGAGCTGCGCTTCAAGAACTCGGCCAAGAATCTGTCCCTCTATCCGGACTACTGCAACAAGCTGAAGGTCCTGCACGCCCTCAACTACATCGATGAGCAGAACGAGGTGAAGCTCAAGGGCAAAGTAGCCTGCGAGATGGGCCAGAACGAGCTGCTCATCACGGAATTGATACTCTGCAACATGTTCAATGATCTCGAGCCAGCGGAAATCGCTGCCCTGCTGTCGGGTCTGGTGTTTCAGGCCAAGATCCAGGGCGAGCCAGCCATACCGGAGCCGTTGAAGGAATGCGTGGCTGCCTTCGAGCAGATTAGCGACAAAATTCTAGCCGAGGAGCAGCGTTTCCAGGCGTCCACTGAATCGGAGAGTCGCCTGAACTTTGGCCTGCTCGAGGTGGTCTACGAGTGGGCCAGGAACAAGGTAGGAAGCATTGGAGCGCAGCTTCTGTTTTGAAACTGATTGTTGTTTGGTTATTCTTGCAGCCCTTTGCCGAGATTATGAAACTGACCGAAGTGCAGGAGGGCATCATTGTGCGCTGCATCCAGCAGCTGGACGAGACGCTGCGTGACGTTAAGACAGCGGCCATACGCATTGGAAATCCCGGCCTGCAGGCCAAAATGGAGGAGGCATCGGCGGCCATCAAGCGCGACATTGTATTCACAGCCAGCCTGTACACGGAACTGTAACGGGGAATGGGGCATAGCCCTGATGCGAGATTCAAGACAAGGAATTGGATTTCTTAAAACTATTTATCATGCACGTGTGTCAATTACAATTCCAAATGGGAGACTTATAAAAGTGTAAAAATATTTGTGGGTGCCACCCATGCAACAGCGGAACGATGGAACAAACGTCGCGCTGGAGGTTAATTTCATCGTGACTCTGGCTTGAATTTGGGCGGCACCATCATGCCAGTCATGTGCTTCTGTTTTTTAGTCTTCTTTGATTTGCTGGTGCCCGACTGAAAGTCATGCCAGCTGTTCACGCGACTCTGGCGGGACTCTTCGAAATTTTGCTGCCACTCGCGGTCCGATTTGATGCGCTCCTCCTCCTCGATTTCGGTTTCTCGCTTCCGTTTGCGCTCCTCCTGGTCGCGCTGGTCCAGTTTCTGGCGTCGACGCTCCATGTCGGCGAACAGTTTCATAACCATTACGTAAATGGCATGTTTGTATTTCGTGGGATCATCCTCTGGTATGGGCTCCATGGGTCTGCCCTCCTTTTTAAGCTTTTTGCGTTTCTCTGCAATCTGAAAAGTGGCCCCAGGCATGGTATTCAAATTACGAGTTTGTGAGAATGGGGTAAATGTCATGTCCAAACCATTTTATCCGTTCGTCCTTTGGCCTCCTCATACACCTCCAGGCACTTTTTTCGCGACAAATCATTCTCCAAGATTTTCCAGGAACGCGATACAATGTCGAATGCCAGTTGGGCGCGCTCCTGGTTATCGTGATTCTTGTCCGGATGTACCAGAATGGATAAGGTGCGGTAGCGCTTTTTAATATCGGCCACCTCGACCTCTGGTTCGATTTGGAGCACTTCGAATGGATTAAGATTGAAGTATGTGGAACCTGGACGAAGTAAACGATCAATTTGTTGAGTAGGAGTTAGTACAGAATCGCGTTTTTCAATTTCTTTCACCTGCGAATATAGTCACAAAATCGTTTATTTATGGTGTACAATCAAAAAATAATAATAAATGTGTGGTTGGCCTGTGCTGTTATGGGAGGGCCCCCCCACATCCACAACACCTGGCTATTGCGCTGGCATTGCCATCCATTAAACTTACTTCGGTGTAGAAGTCCTCAAACGATTCCTTCGATGTGCTCGGCTGCTCTCTGGCTGATGAGGAGGACATTATGTGTGTGACGTTCTTATCTCTTATATTACTATATTTTGATGACTTTCCGCTTTCCCCTAACAATAAAATTGACTTTTTGTTAAAAACGCACTGTCTGTACCAGGGCGCAGTGTTGTCAAATGTCAGAGATTTCATTTCCAGTGCTCTCAACTGGTAATGAAACGGGTAACAAAATATTATGGTGTGGCAGCCCGCAGCAACAACGAATGGCACGAGCCTGGCAACGCCACCAACAACGACATCCCATTTTTTTTATGTTGTGTTTGTTTGAACCTTATTATGTAAACAATCCAATAAAAAAGAGTTCTGAAAACTAGCCAATCGTGAACAAAATCTATTGAAGAATTGGATAAAATTATTTGTTTAGGGCTGAGAGGGCCAACTAGCTAGTAATATTAAACTAAATATCAAAATTATGGAATACGATTTCAATCAATAAAAGAGAACGTTAACGCTTTGTTGACCGAAGGGGTATTTAATATATCCACGCAAATTTATGTAACTTTAACACATTTTACGCATTACAGGTGAATGATGTCGGTGGTCATTTTTGTTTTGTAAGTAAAGAGGACGATGGAGCTACAAGGAGCATTTAAAATCCGTATTATTTTCCGCGGTTTAACAAAGGGTGCTCAGCTTTTTAAATAAAGGGGTGTTAAGTGGGTTAAGTCTCGTTTGCCCCGGTTTTTTATGGTATGGTATTTAAATGGTATTTCTCGAAACTGAAATGTTATTAAATGGTATTTATTTTTTAGCCGGATGGTATTTTTATCGTTATCGGCGCGGTCACGCTGAACACATGGCGGATGAAAACAAACCTGTGGAAAATTGATACAAATTTTTAATGCTCCCCGAATTGAAACGCCTGGGACTGTTTGTGGGCGGTAGGTTCCTACAGATACAGAGTAGGCGTGTGACAATTGAAAGTAAAAAAATGAGCACAACCCCAAGTTTGGGCGATGTCGAGACGGATCTCGTTTGGATGGATCTCGAGATGACCGGCCTCAACGTTGATACGGACAAAATACTGGAGGTGTCGTGCATCATTACCGACAAGGACCTGAACATCAAGTCCGAGGGACCCTGCTTTGCCATCAACTACCCAGACGAGGATGTCTACAAAAATATGAACGAGTGGTGCATTAAGCACCACAACGAGTCTGGCCTGATCGACCGGTGCCGCAGCTCTGATGTAACGCCCGACAAGGCAGTGGATCTGGTGATGTCCTACCTGCAGAAAAACATCCCCAAGGGCAAGTGTCCTCTGGCCGGCAACTCTGTCTATATGGATAGGTTGTTTCTCCGAAAATACATGGCACCGGTCAACGAATATCTACACTATAGAATCGTGGATGTTTCCACCATCAAGGAGCTGGCCAAGAGATGGTATCCGGATGTGGAAAAAGCTGCACCGCGCAAGGTATTTGCTCACCGCAGCCTCGAGGATATCATGGAGAGCATACAAGAGTTAAAATACTATAAGGAGCATTTGTTTAAGTAGAACGAGAAGGAACGTATTCAGTGTTAAGTGTAAAAAACAAAATCGTTTAATGGCTTGTGCGGATATGCAAGCAAAACCAAAACTCTATTATAAGACATAAAAATACGATTGCAATAAAAAACTCAATTTCCTAGTAGACACCATTTATATTGTTGTGGGCCGCTGAGTAATTGTTTGTGTTATTGTCCTGTCGCCTTCTCGAGGATCTGTGATTGGTTGTGGCACTGTCGGTGCCCGTCACCTTCTCGGCCTCAATGCGTCCCGACAGAAAGTTGGCCACACGTTCCTAGAAAATTCAATTGGTTGGTAAGTAGTCGAGGAGGGTGGGGGGGTTGCATCATTCTTACCAGATAACGGTTGGACAGGCCCTGCAGATTGCCATAGAAGGCAAGCGCGCGCTTTAATAGAGATTCCGCCTCCTCCTTGGACAGGCTCTTCACCTTGTCCAGGCGAGATATTGTGATGATGCGATGGTTAATATATACGATTTGGTGGGCCACTTCTGTGGTGGTGTGTGCCAGGTTTCTGTTGGCGATCATCAAGTGCATTGATTAGTGTGTCAGGATAATCTCTGCTACGGGACACTCACCTGGGTATGTTGGATGCCACAGTGGCACTGAAGTTAACCAAATGCACGACTCTTCTGGCCGATTCCCTCGTGAGCAGCACAATCAACTGCTCCAGGGTGGCTGGCCTGGCCTGATTCTCGGGCTCATCTGCGCTAAGATACGCCCACAGCTCCTTGGCCTTTTGCATGGCCTGTTTGGGATCCGAGGCAATCTGCAGGAGCACGTTTAAGATGTGTTAGACATGTAATGGTTGTTGGCACTCCTTTTTACTAACCAATTCCACTGCATAGATGAGCACATGGATGGCCACTTTGCTTTGTTTCTTCAGGGCGCGCGCCTCGGCAATCGTTCGTTGTGTGAGGCGTCGCTTCAGCTTGCGGGAGAATCGTTGCCCGTGATGGATCGCCTTGATGGCACCCTTCTCATTCAGTGCCGCTCTCGCCGCCTCACTATCATCCTCTTGCGGCGCTGCAAAGCGGATATATTCAAATGTTTAATAGCATTTTAGGTCCCCCCATGAATTGTAGATTTGTTTCGTGTTACAGCGAATTGAGCGCCTCGCTCAGCGATCGATCGAACGGACCCCTGAGCCATCGCTTATCTCGTGACTCGAATAATTCACAAGAGATAACCTTTCCACGACTAGCAGCCGTAATCGTCGCCGTCGCCAGTTTAAATATAAACTATGAGCCGAGCCGCAGCAGAGCGTGAGATGAGTGCACCTTGTCTCAAGGTTACTCACCGTCTGTCTGATCCTGATCCGTGCTAATGGGCACCAGATATTTATCCACAAACTTGTCGCCGGCTGTAAAGGCTCCATCGATCCGATCCGCCGCATAGGTGGTCAGGGGACTCTCCAGCACAGCGTTGCCAATTTGCTTGACCGAATCGGCGCGCTTGAGCACTGGCCGCACCAGATGATCCGACATGTATTCCTTAGTGTTCCAATACATCTTTAAGCACAAGATAATTGCCTTTTTGTGAGCGAACTAAGCCACATTGGCGGACAGTGGCCAGTCGCCGTGTACTTACCATTTCGGGTGGCAGATAGACCAGCGGAATGCGCTGCTCCAGTATGTCCAGACTCTTGCACATGACATTGTCCAGACGCTTCAGCGGATGCTCGAAGAGTTTCACGGCTGGCTGGACGGAACCATAGGCAGCCGAAATGGTCGCCTCTGCGGCGTCAAAGTACCACGAGAACAGACGATTGTTGTTCTTCACCTTGCCGTAGATGTTCTCCACCCGCTTGACGCTCGACTCCACCAATGGTATGGAGCCAATGCGATCGATGGCCTCTAGGTGCAGACCACTGCCGATAGTTGCAGTTGCTTTAAAAGGATTAGGATTAGATCACATGATGCAATGAGCGCGTGCCACTAACTAACCCATTTGTGTGTGTGAAGAAGTCGCTTGGTAAACGAACTGTTCCGGCCGCAGGCTGAATTGCTACTGACTGGCTTCTGCGAAAGATTCGTGCTTGTATTTGAATACCCAAAATCGCGACGCGTTCTAAGTTGTTCGCACCGATCGCGCCTCCCTTTTAAGCGTTACGGAATGTGTATACAGACTAAATCGAAATTGCACGGACACGGGGTACTCGTCCACTTTCTGGACACCACTCGCATCATGCTCGCTTTGACCCTTAACACTAGCGAGCGATAAGGATGAAACGAAACGGGACGCTCTCGCCTCGCTCTTCGCAAGCACAAATACCGTCGTGCACCTCGACTCGACAATTTTTCCCAATGCTTATCATGAACACGCCATGCCATGCCATTATAGAAAGCAAAGCTCTGAATAAGTTCCAAAGTGCAACCGGATTAAACACACATATGTACTTACGTGTGTTTAAATTAGGAACTCCAAGCATGTGAATCACTTGATGTCTATCTCGTAATTATACTGGCCGTAATCGCCTGATTAACTATCGAATTATATGGCGCTAATTTGGAACAAGTGACGAATGAGCCCCTGCGAGTCCAAACTGCAGTTCAACAAAATAATTGCGGGGGCGTTCAGGTCGATGTACCGGGAGTCCGAGTCTGCCCGTGCCAGACAGCGTTAAATTCAATTTAGCGGCATAGCTATTGTCTGTGCCTGTGTCGGTTGCTATGTAGCTCATTTCTGTAATCAGCCAGACACATTGTTTTATTACAATAGCAAGGAGCCTGGACTAGATAATGTAAGTGTAAACCTTTGATCTGTAGACTTGGACATAGAGCGAAAATTGAATATTTCAAATTCAACTGTTAACTGTTAGCAATCGAAATACAGGCCAGGGCCAGTGCTGTTAGGCGTGCTGGCTTAAGTTCGTGCAGTGTTGTAAAGCCAGGCTTGGTTTTTGGTATAATTTGTTTGTTGCGTGTTTGTTTTTGTGTAAAACTGCGTCTTTTGTCCATTTATTCCACGAATTTACATTCTCAAACTATGTTTAGTTGTTAAGTGAAACCGTTTTAGTCTCAATATGAATGTTTGTCTAAGGGCTATCTGCCTTTTGGGCTTCCTGAGCTCAGGTCAGTACGCTACGCGTGTGCTTCATTCCCAAGCCACACCCAAGCGCGCCCCGCCTTTGGATGCAAATCAGCTTCAATGTGATTCATGTGATTTTCGGCTTATCATTAAATTTTTTGTTTATTTTTAGCGCTTGCACAATTCAATCAAAATCAAATTGAGCAACGAAACTGTATTATACCGAAGATACTGCAGGGATCTTGGTTTTCATGGGAGACTGGCCTGCCCACACAGACGGTCATCGATGCCACATCCATGTCGAGTCGTGGCTACTGCATCAACTACCAGCGCCACCACGGAGATGAGTATTCATTTGTGTTCAAGGAACGCACGAAGGACTGCTATCACTGCGTCAACACCAAAATCCGTACTTTGAATGTCTTTGAGAAGTACGAGGGTCCGTGCCTGAGCTTGCCGCCCGGCCAGAAGCCAACCGTAGAGAACATCTGCAGGGGCATTAAGGATGACCAGCAGCTGATAACGCTCTTCAACGAGAACTTTGTGCCTATCAATTGCCGCTCGTCACTGGAGGGTGTGTGGCATTTTACATATCAAGTAGGTCTTTCAAACAAAAATTAATTAAGCACAATTAAGAGCAGCCAGCAACCGTCTCTGAACATTTCTTTCTGTGCAGAATCGTTTCCGATTTACGGGCGTGTGCGATCAACCGGATGCACGCATACAGTCGTGCCAAACAGCTGGAACCCAGTTTCTTATACAGAACCAAAAGTTCAACATCACTTATCAGAAATGCGAGGGCATGGAGGGCACATTCAGCGGCCCCGTTGAGTTCAGTTGCCTGGGCGATTGGTTTGTGGGAAAGAACCATTACTTTGCCGTGGCCAACACGAAGGAGTCGCGCAAAGATGAGAAATATCGTTGCTTCCTCAAGAATCGAGACGATGATCTGTACGTTGGTGTCTCCATCACCGCCGAGTGCAATACACTGAAAACGCCCGAGACATCGCCGGAGCGCCTGAAACTGACGCCCGTCAAAGCTGAGTTTGTGGAACCGGGCTGCACGCTGCCGCAAAACTTTAGCGGCGAGTGGGTGAACACGGCTAACATTGACGCCGATGTGTCCATCAGTGAGACGCACATCAATGAGACCTATTATCCCGACAAGTCGCGCTACCGCAAGACAATCTATGTGTGCCGCGAGCGGCGTGGCAACCGGGTGATGATGGCCCGTCTCACGGTCGATGGCTGCCAAAAGGATTATGTGTGCTTCGATTTTATGCCCCGCCATCATAATATCATACGCTACCGCAGGGGCTTGGCCGTGATCAAAGATGACTTCAGTACAGTCTGCTCCTGGGTGCAGTTCCCCAATTCGGAGGCCTGGAAATATGACTTGTTCCTAGCCAGAAATCCAGTGCCCGTCCGTTGTCCGGTGGCTGGCAAATTCAACTTTACACAACGAGGAGAGCATCCCTTCAGAACGAGGCATGTTTAAAAATTGATTTCTTCAACGTACACATAGTTAATCGTGAATCTTTTGCAGGATCCTGGGTGGTGTCACGTTGAGTCCCCGTCCGGACATTCATTGCAAGCAGAATATCTCCGATTTGTCCGTGTGCGATACGGACCAAAAGGAATTGGCTGTCGATGAAAACTACTGCCTGTCTGTGGATCATTTGGGACGACCGGTGGACATCTACAGTGATCCGGATTATCGCATGAAGTGCATTGGCTTCTGGAAGGAAAATCTAAAGTCCTATATGATTACCTACGACGACTTGGATCCGCTTTCCAAGTACCGCTGCTGGGTATATCAGCGCGCCGACCTCAATCGGGTGCTAATGTCGCAGGCTGTGGGCGCCTTTTGTAAGCTGGAACAGGATGTCACCTCTTGGAATCATTCGGAGGGCGCAGCGGTGGCCATCGATGCTGTTGAATACGAGCGTGAGCGCGACGATTGCCCCATGTACTTTGACGATGGCTTGAATCCCTGGCGGCCATCAGATGCTTCGAACATCATCTTTGACTGGGATTTCTATAGAGCCGGAGCGTCGGCCATAAATGGAAAGCTGGCCACGGCCATTGCCATGGCTTGTATGCTGCTCACATATTTAGTCGCTCACTGAGTTCAAAGTATTTTTAATTTTACCAACGAAGGAATTACGTTCCGTCCATTTTAACATTCATTCCATAGTGTCTTTTTTATGCGTTGAAAATATCGGTGTGCCTTTTAATGCAAATATCTGCCTTTTTAGAGAAAATTTGTAAGCTAGTTTGTAAGAAAAAATAACAATCCATGTCAAGTTTGTAATTAGTATCAGCCATTCCGTCCCGTCCTCGAATGAATCTCAAATGTTTTTGCTTAAACCATTTAAGCAGCCTAATAAAATGTGTGAAGCAATTTCTCGTTTGTATTTCGATAACTTCAATGAGCGATAGAAACGAAACCAAGCACCTCTGCTTCTAGTGTTGTACAATTTTAAAACTGGTCGGACGTATTGCCGAACGAAACAAGTGAATTTTTATAAATTGAAAAAAATTCATATATCCTACCACAAGCATCATGTCTCTTTCCTTGGTCCTGCGTGGCGCCGTGCGCTTTAATGGTGAGCATTAAATGAATTGCCAGAATCCGCAAGAGCTGACAGGAAACAGTTTTTATTATATAACCAAAATGTTTGTTGGTATCCCCGCAATTAGCCGCAAATCTCGTTAAGTCGGCGCGCATCACGCCACTGAAGGCCTACTCCACAATTGTGGCTAACGCCCAACGTCAGACTCTCAAGCCCCTGGCTCTGACCAAGATAGTCGCGGTGAGTGCATCGATGAGCGGAACAAATGACCGACTGGATGCTAATCCCTGGCCTGCCCTGCCTTTTGTTCTTTCAGCCTGTAGTTCGTGAGATCTCTGTGAGTGCACCACGCATGGCTTCGGCTGAGTCCAGCCACACCGCCTTGTGGACACTGGAACGCCTGGTATCGGCTGGTCTTTTGGCCATTATCCCAGCTGCCTTCATTGCCCCATCCCAGATACTGGATGCACTGCTGGCCATCTCAGTGGTCATTCACGCTCATTGGTAAATACCATTTTGTTGCTCGAATACAAATCACTGAGCTATAATTCATATTGCAGGGGTGTTGAGGCCATGGTCGTCGACTACATGCGTCCATCTGTGGTGGGCAATATTCTGCCAAAGGTGGCTCACATTGCGCTCATCGTCGTCTCGGTGGCCACACTGGGAGGTCTCTTCTACTTCATCCAAAACGACGTGGGTCTGGCCAATGGGATTAAGCGTTTCTGGGCCATCAAGGGCAAGGATGCTGAGGAGAAGAAGCAGTCCTAAGTCCCGAAGTATTCAATCCAGTTTCCGCAGACACGCAAAACCACACCCGTTATTTATTGATAGTTTTGTGTGTTCCAAAATCCACGGCCCGGCAGTTACAAATATAGGCAGTAAATAAATAAATTGTATAAAGAGAAAAGGCGCACATGTTTTTACAAAAATGTATTTTTCGAACAACTGCACCTATTTAATTAGTTGGGCAACGTTAAGCTGGGGGAACAAGCTGTGTTGTTCCACTTACGTATGGTAATCTAGGCAATAAACATTTTGTGCTATTGTACACCTTAGGTCATGACTTTGCCTGAACATTATTTGTGTAGAATAACCTGAGTGCGTCCCATTGTTTGGTGTGCAGCAAGATATGCGGACGGCAATTACGCATATGGTCCACAGCTTCATCTGGGGTCCAGCCGTTTTTCTGCAAAACAAAAGATTCCATTCCCCATTTAAAAGATAAAACCCTGCTTGAAAAACCTGAACCTTTAACCTACCATCATCAGATAGCAACCGACCAAGGTGGCACTGCGCGTTCTTCCTGCCTTGCAGTGCACGTAGACAGAGCCAACATTCTCTGGCAAATGCGTAGAGCTCAAGCCGCTGATGCGATTTGACAGTGGTAGGAACTGATTGATGAACTCCACGCCGCGGAAGAGCTTCTCCTGGTTGGGCGACTCGAAGATGTCGGTGGTGGCCAGCTGTAGGAACTCGACGCCCATTTTACGCCACTTCTCCGTGTTGTTGGAGAAGGCTGTCAGCTCATAGTCCTCGTTCATCGACACCACAGCCTTCATGTTCTCCTTCTGAATCAACTGTTGACCAAGCCAGGCTTTAGATGTGCAACTGTGCGTCTCAATTTGCGTTTACTTACGTCATTGGCTTGGTTTCGAAAGGGGAGTGCTCCCAGTATGACATTGTCATCAATGCGGTCGTACCAATTCCTGGCGGAAGCCTTCTCCATCAGGACATTGTAGAGCAGGGTGGGGTAGAAGGACACACGGGCGAACATGGCAGCCTTAAATTATATTTGGAATGGATTATTCCGTTTTCGGGCAGCGTGGGGAGAGTGGAGCGCGCGCAACAGCTGTAAACTTTCACCAGCCAAGTTCGGGGGAGAGGGCAGATGAGCATTAATACAGAATATGGTTCGTTGGTTGTCTTGTCTGTCTGTCTTGCTTGAGGCGCGCTTTGGAACTGGTTTCGGTTTGCGATGAGCCAGCGGCTTTTGAAGCAGGCTGTCCAGTCGTGTCTGGCTCCAATCTCGCGCTACTTACACTCATCTCCATGCCGGTTACTCAGCTGCTGGTCGGTCGAGACAATAGTGTGATTCACGTGTGTACAATATCTTCCTCGCCTTCTAATTAGTATACACTTCGCCCAAATTATCACCCCAATTCCGTCGGAAATATACGTCCAGTCCACCTGCGCTGCCCCGCACCATTTGCATAACGTATGTTTTCCCCCCGCCGCTGTGCAACACTGGCAATAAGCTGTCTGCTGGCAGCTCGCAACACTAAACACCAAATAAATTGCAACAAAAAAAAGAAAATTAAAGAATCTTACGTGTGAAAAATTAATAAAAGGTGGCCTAGGTAAATCAATCACCAATCATATGTGGCTGAAAATGCGCCTGCGATAATCGGCTCAATCGAACAGTGAATAGGCTAGAAATCTGCTGGGCACTCCTACCCGCCCCCCTCCCGCAAGAAGAAGAAGTAAATAACGTCAACACGTCAGAAGTAAAGAAAGACGTCAAGAGAGGCAAAGAAAAGTCGAAGATCAAATTTTGTGTTGCACTATAATTTATGTTGCAAATTTCCCAATTTTCCACAGAGACCACAGCAGCACCATGAAACTAAACAGCTGGATGTGTCTCCTAATGCTCCTCCTGGCCAAGCGCGGCCAGCTGTTGCGGGCCGAGCTGCAGGGCCCCACAGCTACAAGCGAAACGACGACAGGACCCTCAGCCCCCACTGCCGCCAGTCTGCCAGCAAGTGAGCCATCTAGTCAGGCCGAAACGGAAGAGGTAACCACAGCCGAGACAGAGTCGCGGGCACCGGCCCTCAGCAATGAGCGGAAGGCGTCCAAGCCAAAGGAAGCCACAGAGTTCGTGCCACGAGTGATGCCAGCTGCTCTATTCGAACGCCTCTGGAACGATAGTCTGATGAAGCAACAGAAGCTAAAGGCAGAGATCGAGAAAATCGAAGCCAGGCGACAGGCCACTGCCGAACCGGCCGCCGTTGAGCTAACGCCCGAGCAGCTGGAAGGTGAGTGTTGTGTGTGTTGTGTTCCCCCACCTCTACGGCATGCCAACTAACAAGAGGTTCATCTCCCCTTCAGCCCAACTGATGTACAACAATGCCATGGAAATGCTCGCCAAGCCGCGCACGGACAAACGGGTGGTCTTCACTTTGCTGAAGAAGGCGGCGGCCTTCAATCATCAGGACGCCCGAGCGGCGCTCGCATGGGCCGTGCTCATGGGTCACTGGATGGAGTTCGATTTCCATCATGCCGCTGACGAGTTTGAGAGCTTGGCCAACGAGGGCTTGCCCTCGGCCCACATGGGACTGGCATTCATGTATTCGGCCGGCGTTGGTGGCAAGAATGTGAGCCAGCCACTGGCCCTAATCCACTACACTCTGGCCGCCCTGGGCGACGACACTCTGGCCCAAATGGCTCTGGGCTATCGCTATCTGTACGGCATCAATGTGCCCATCAGCTGCGAGAAGGCACTGATCCAGTACAAGCGCGTGGCCAAGAAGGTGGCCTCGAAGGTAACCTTCGCCAATGGGCCGGTTGTGCATCGCGTGCGGCTGCTGGATGAACTGGAGAATCCCGGCAGTCACGAGACTGAGATTGTCGACTACTACCAGCTGCTGGCCGACAAGGGTGATGTGCAGTCGCAGGTGGGACTGGGGCAGCTGTACTATCAGGGCGGCAAGGCCATTCAGCAGGATCATCAGAAGGCATTGGAATACTTCACACTGGCGGCCAATGCGGGCAATGCCATTGGTTTTGCCTTTCTGGGCAAACTCTATCTGGAGGGAAGTGAACAGATCAAGGCAGACAATGAGACAGCCTTTAAGGTGAGTGAGAGAATCGAGCGAAATCATTGATTTCCCCTGCTAATTGCCCATAAATCAGTACTTCTCCAAGGCCTCCGAAATGGGTGATCCTGTGGGCCAGAGCGGCTTGGGTGTCATGTACCTGAAGGGCCTGGGTGTGCCCAAGGATCCGGTCAAGGCCCTGTCCTATTTCACACAGGCAGCCGACCAAGGCTGGGTTGATGGCCAGCTCCAGCTGGGCACCATGTATTTCAGTATGTGTTTAAACTGCCAACAATATTTGGCTGCCATTCGCTAATGAGGGATCTTCTTCTTTTTGCTTTATCAGCTGGAAATGGCGTCAAGACTGACTACAAGCTGGCCCTCAAGTACTTCAATCTGGCCACTCAATCGGGCCATGTGCTGGCCTACTACAATCTTGGGGTTATGCATGCCTACGGCATGGGTATGCTGCGCTCCTGCCCGGCAGCTGTGGAGTTCTTCAAGTCCGTGGCGGAGCGTGGACGTTGGAGCAGCAGACTGATGCATGCGTATGGCGACTACAAGCGGAATCGCATCGATGAGGCTTACATGCAATACTCTCTGATGGGCGAGGTTGGCTATGAGGTGGCCCAGAGCAATGCCGCCTTCCTGCTGGACCGCGAGGAGGTGCATGTGTTCAATGACCGGCATGAGGACTTGATACGTGCCTTTTATTACTGGAAGCGGGCTGCTGGCCAGGGCTATTCGGCTGCCCAAGTGAAGCTGGGTGACTACTACTATTATGGCTGGGGAACGTCAAAGGATTTCGAGACGGCTGCTGCTCTATATAGGTGCCTGCATTCTTTGTGTTTGACCTTTATACCTTGCTAACTAGTGCTATAATCTCTGTAGGAAAGCCTCGGAGCAGCAGTACAATGCCCAGGCCATGTTCAATTTGGGCTACATGCATGAGCAGGGGCTGGGCATGAAGAAGGATTGGCATCTGGCCAAGAGGCTGTATGATCTGGCTGCCGAAACCAATGCAGACGCCAAAGTACCAGTGGCCATTGCGCTATTGAAGCTGCAGGTGCTGGCCAAGATTGAATCAATCAAAGAGGTAGGTTATACAAATATAGAGAGAGGTTATTCATAACATCTAACATCTACTTTGTCTCACAGTCCCCATATAGATTCATTTTCTATTTGGATGAAAACATTGCCGCCAACTGGGACTTGTACACGATTACCTTGCTGACACTTCTGTTGGGCTTCATCATGTACACTCGACGGCCATTCCAGCAGCCTGATGTGCAGCCGGCAAATGATTTGGCCGCTGCTGCGCCTGTGCAGTTGGTACCTCCGGCAGTTGCCGAAGCAGCGGTACCCGCTCCTGCAGCTGCACCAGCACCGGCACCGGCACCGTCACCTGAACCAGAACCATCAACGGCTGCTGGCACATCCAAGGCGACGACGACGACGGCGGCGGCGACGTCCAATGTCAACGGCGCGTCAGAAGCGCCGTCGACTAGCGCCAATGCCAATGCAAATGCTCTCGATCCCACTGATTAGTCTTAGTGAGAGTTGGTTTAATCATCCACCACCACCACCACCCCCACTCCCTCCTAGTTTAATTTAGTGTGCGTGTAAATATTTATCATCTAATTTCGCCCGATTTAATATTTTTTATTAACTCTAAAAAAGACCTTTTGGAGTACGATCCAATTATAATGTTGTACTGATCAAAAAAGAAAGCAAAACCAGAATGTGAAAATATCCAAATACTTTGTGTGTTAGAATTTTGTAACTTTTATGGTTTATTATTTTTAAATTTTTTAAAGATCGATAAGCAAGTGACAATGTGGTTTAGATTCAACTGCAAATTTGTTGCCTTAAGCGTAGTAATTAAGATTAGCCTTCTTTTTCGCCTGCACCTCCATGATGGCGTCCATGAAGTCCTCGTGCGTCACCGAACTGGCCGACCGACGCAGGGCTATCATACCGGCCTCCACACAAACAGCCTTGCATTGGGCGCCATTGAAGTCATCTGTGGAGCGTGACAGCTCCTCAAAGTTCACGTCGGTGCTTACGTTCATTTTTCTCGAATGGATCTGCATGATGCGGGCCCGTGCCTCCTCGTTGGGATGGGGGAACTCGATTTTACGATCCAGACGGCCCGAACGCAGCAGAGCGGGATCCAGAATATCCACACGATTGGTGGCGGCAATGACCTTAATGTCGGCCGTCGAGCTGAAGCCATCCAGCTGATTGAGCAGCTCCAACATGGTGCGCTGCACCTCACGATCGCCGGCCTTCTCAGAGTCAAAACGCTTCGTGCCAATGGCGTCCAGTTCATCAATGAAGATAATTGCCGGTGCCTTCTCCTTGGCCAAAGCGAAGGCATCGCGTACTAGCTTGGCGCCATCACCGATAAACATCTGCACCAGCTGCGGTCCGGCCAGCTTGAGGAAAGTCGACTTGGTCTGAGCGGCACAGGCACGGGCCAGCAGAGTTTTTCCGGTACCGGGTGGGCCATACAGAAGAACACCTAATCAAAGATAAAAGATTAAAGCATCAACTAGAATTTCTATGTGGATCGGTTTACCTTTCGGTGGATGAATGCCCAAATTTTTGAATTTCTCCTTATGCGTCATGGGCAGCACCACGGCCTCGATGAGCTCCTGAATCTGCTTGTCCAGGCCACCAATATCCGAATACTGCTCTGTGGGTCGTTCATCCACTTCCATGGCCTTGACGCGAGCATCATACTCAGCTGGCAGGGTCTCCAAAATAAGATACGAGTCCTTGTTGACGCCGACCAAATCGCCGGGCTTCAGTTTCTCGGCATCAACCAGCCCGATGACGGGCAAGAAATACGCCTGACGCGTGGATGTTTTGATTACAGCGCACTTGCCCTTTCGCTGGTTATCCAGCACCGTGACGGAGCCGTCGTCCTCCTCCTCTTGTGGATCAACGTCCAACAACTCTATGACATTGGACACCAAGTATGGCAGCGTTTTGTTAACCTACAAAGAGCGAGAAGTAGTATAGATTTTGTACCCCTTTTTATGTATTCTGGTAGGTTACCTTGATTTTCTCCGTGTTGTCTTTGATCTTCTCGTTTTGCGCCTGTATCTCGTGTGTGATGCGCATCACCTCGCTCTTCATTATCTTTATTTCGTTGTCCATCAGTCGAGTCCTGCTCACAATCTCATCGGTGGACATACGCATCACCTCCTCGCCCAGCGACTCCTCGCCATCCTCCCATATTGATTTGTCTTCCAGAGTTTGCGCCATTTTGGATAACCTTGTGGACTGCTTGCAAAACAAATTCAACGCTCTATACAAATATTTAAGTTTAATGAAAAATTATAGCCGATCTCTGCTGTCGATGACTTGTAAATTTTCTTGTTTTCAGTGCCCTGGCGTTGACAGCTAGGCGCAGTGTTGGAAAGGTCCCGCTTATCGAAGCGGCGCCACTGACAAAGACAAAAAGTAGTTATCGATAGCAGTGTAAATTCGCTTTGAAACACTATCTCTGGCTTGGCAGAGAACGCTCTTTTGTGGAAAAGTTTTGGCAAATTATATTTAATAAAAACTGATAGATACAAAGTGAATACGCTATGTCGGAAAACAATGGTAAGTGCTGCAGCAAACTGCTCACACATGGATTGTTCCGCGATTCGCCGGCACTGCGTCCAAAAGAGTGCAGCGCCTACATGGCAACTGCACCAAAAAGTGAAGCTAAATCCGAGTCTTGTTTTTTCTTGTTGTTTTTTATTTTAGAAGCGTCAGTTGAAAGTAACTGTTTCCGAGGTGGCTTCACCTTGAAGGCCTCACGACTGGGCGGGGCAGTGCTACGTCCGGCCGTGCTTGGGCCCTCCGTTCTTGGCTCGAGTGCCCAGACCAACAGCAGCAACAGTAGTTCCACATCGCTGGCCGGCAACAACGAGAAGTCGGACGATGAGACCATCTCAAACAATCCATTTTTGCGCGAGGACAAGGATGAAGGGGACGAAGATTCCGCAGCTGGCGCTGCTCCTCCGGTCGCCGCACCGGAGTCTTCCACTGAGAAACAACCAGAACAGAAGGACGACGAGGAAGTTGATGAGCGGCCGGATCCGCTGACCAAGCTTCGAAGCAATGGCATCGAACGATCCAGTATGTTCGGAGCGGCCAAAACCAATATGCCACATGTCCAGACCACTGGCTATGTCTTCGGTCAGAATGTGCATGAGCGTGTGATCGGGGTTGGCCATGACGGCCATGTGGCCTCTGCCGTCCCAGGCAGCACCTCGGAGAAAACCGAGACAGACCAAGACAATGTTGAGGCGGCAGCCGCCACATCGCAATCGCAGCAGACACAGGAACCATCTTCCTCCTCGCAGCTTCTATTCTCCAGCGTCATTCAGAAGGCTGCCCAATCCACAGACAGCAGCGAAGCGGCCTCCTCCAGCTCCAGCAGCAACAACAACAAATCTGAGGCACTAGAGGCCAAGAGCCTGACAGATGTGGCGCGTGAGTATGAGGAGAGCCGCGCCCAGAAGCGCAAGTACGAGGAGGTGGAGACCTTCACCGGTGAGGAGGACGAACTGAATATTGTCGATGTCAGCTGCAAGCTGTTCGCCTGGGTCAACAGCAACTGGGAGGAGCGGGGACGCGGCAGTCTGCGCCTCAACGATGTCAAGGGCGAACGTGACTGTTCGCGCGTTGTCTTCCGTACCTCGGGCAACCTCCGCCTGTTGCTGAATACCAAAGTCTGGGCGGCCATGGTGGCCGAACGGGCCAGCCCCAAGTCACTGCGTCTGACTGCCATCGATAATACGGGCTCCCTGAAGATCTTCCTTGCCATGGGCCGTCCGGCGGACATTGCCCAGCTGCACAAGTCGCTCTGTGACCGCATTGCCCGCCGCAAGCTAGCCCATCCCGAAGAATGCTCCGTCGAGGACACGAAAAATGGTGTTGCCTCTGAGGCTGCCGCCAGCCTGCAGCCCGAATCGACCACACACGATGATGAGGATGACGAAGCCGCCGCCGTCGCTGTCGCACCAATCAACACCAATGCAGCCGCCGTTGCAGAGGCTGACAGCATGGAGCCCAGTCCCAAGAAGGTGCTCGTCCAGCAGCCCGACAGCAGCGATGATATCCGCGTGCCGGTCATGGAGGTGACCAGCGAAGATGTTGATGCCGCTGCCGATGCCGAGGCCGAGGCCAAGGAGTCCTCGTCCACTGATCAGAATTAACCGCCGCATGCTTACGTTTGTGTTTTTTTTTTCAAAATATAAATGGAGAACAGAGAAAACCCCCCCACAACTAAATGAATGAGATCCGCAGTGAATTATTATAAATTAATTATAATAATTTATTAATAATTATTATTAATAAAACGTAAAAGTATAATAAATGAAGTGAAGCTGCGTCTACAAAAGACATTCTATATCCATTACGATTTACGATTTCGTTTCTGCTTTGTTTTGTTTCGTTTAAAAAATTTGTTAAAACCGAGAGAAAAGGAGAGTAGAAGAAAACGATTCATAACATTTGCTCTAATTAAATTTTCGTTTTGTTTTTTGTTTTGTTTCTGTTTGATTTAGTCCACTATTCAAAAACCCTATTTACTAATTATTCGCTTAAGGAATACGCTTTTTGCTTTTATTCAAAGACAATCGCATTGTCTGGAGTACGATCTGATCTCTGCAGAACTACATTTGCCCAAAGACAATATAAATAGTAAGATGCGAAACGTCTTCGGGCTCCAGATTTTACATTTGTACGCTCTCAAAGTTAAGAAACTTCCACTGCATACCAACTATTCTGGCCTTTGTCGTTACGCATCTTATTATTATAATTGTCTTTGATATTTGCTGGCTGCTGGCTGCTTTCTGCTTTTCTTTCATTTATAATAGGTAGAAAAATATTATTATCGTTATGATGAATTATACAATCTAAATGGAAGTAGAGATATAGTAGTAGCTATAACAACGAAGAGCGCACACGGAGAGGAGACGCGAAGACTCTTCAGACTTCCCTGCTGCAGCTGCTGTAGCTGCTGCTGCGGCTTTCTTGGCCTGGCCAATGTATGTGCTGGTTGGTTATTAATCATCATCAATGTGGAAACATTTAACCATATTTTTTTGTTTTGTAATAACACCTAAAGAGAAATGTACAAGGAGAGGCGAGGAGTGGGGCGTGTCGCCCGTCCTGAACCCAATCTTAGCTGATTGTGCTGCAACTGGAAACGGTCACGTTCAATGGATTATTCGCGCTGCTCACGGCAATGGAGGATCTGCAAAGAGGAGAACACATACACACACACACACACAAGTTTAGAAATTGGAACAAAATATAATTTTTAAATATTTTTCTTTACCGATTATGCCTCATGTGACTCTTGACTAGATCGCTGTTGACCAGAGCGGCCATCAGACTCAGTTCCCCGGCCATCACAGTGGCGCAGACAATCTGCGCCAGCTTCTTGGCATTGTCACCGGGATGTGTGGGATGTGCGCCGCGCACACCGAGCATCTCCAGGCAGGCACTTTGTCCCGGCAGCCCCGTGCCGCCGCCCACAGTGCCCACCTCCAGCGATGGCATGGTGCAGGTGATATACAGATGCTCGTTGTTCTCCACCCAGCACTCCATCGCGGTGGAGCAGTTGCTGGAGGTAACATTCTGGGCGGGATCCTGGCCGGTGGCCAAGAAGACGGCGGTTACCATATTGGCGGCATGCGCATTATTGCCACCAATGGTGCCGGCCATCGCACTGCCGCCCATATTCTTCAGTTTGTTGCACTCCACGAGTGTCTTGGCGTCCGTCTTCAGCACAGAGCGCAGGGTGGCCGCCGAAATGGTGCACTCGGTGACCACACGCTTGCCCCGACCCTTGATCCAGTTGATGGCCGCCGGCTTCTTGTCGCAGCAGAAGTTGCCGCTCAGCGAGATGATCTGCATGTCCGGAAACTGTCGCTTGATGCGACGCAGCGCCATCTCCGCCCCCTTGGAGACCATGTTCATGCCCATGGCATCGCCAGTGAGCGCCACAAAGCGGATGTACAGCTGCGGGCCATCCATGGCAATGTGACAGTCCTTGAGGCGACCAAACCGAGACGTCGAATCGAATTCCAGCTTGATCACCTTATAATTGACCTCATCCTCGATCCACAGCTTGGCCTCCGACGCCCGGGCCACGCTGGGGAAGCGCACGCACGGCGCCCGGGTCATGCCCACATCCTCGACGACGGAGCGCACCCCAGTCACGGACAGAGCCTTGCAGCCGCGATTGGTGGAGGCCACCAGGGCGCCCTCTGTGGTGGCCATTGGCACGTAGTAGCTCTCGCCATCGAGTATCAAAGGACCCGCGTAGCCCACGGGTATGGGCACGTAGCCCAGCACATTCTCGCAGCAGGCATTCAGGACCCGGCGGTAGTCAAAGTGCTGATACGGCAGCATATCCAGCCGCTCGACGGGCAGCTTGGCACGGGCCGCTATTATCCTGCGACGAATGCGCACTCCCCGCTCGAGGTCATCCAGCACCGATTCGATCTTGTAGAGCGGGCAGTTGACAGCGGCCTGTCCGCCAGCCTGTATCATGGCAATGATCTCCTCGTCGCTGAGGGCACTGGGCCCATTGCCCTCCTCGCTGGAGTTCAATATCTCCAGGCATTCCTGCACAGGACGCGCCGGCCTCTGGCTGGCATGTGACGCCAGTCGCTTGCGTGTCTGGGGCAGCAGATCTGTTTGTGTCGATGCATTGGCCGAGCTCTGCTCCTCGATGGTGAAGAGGGGCGCACGCACGGGCAGTGGAGCAACTGCTGCTGCTGCTGACTCCATGGGCGTTGTTTGGGTCTCCACTGTGCTGGCGGGACGCAGCTGATCCGGCAATGGGTCACGATTGTCGAAGCAAATGAATTTGATGACCAAAGCGATCAGAACAATGGAAATGACTATGTGATCGGCACTCATGGTCAGCCACCTAGCGCGCAGGTGAGAGGGGGAATCATTAGAACTCTGACTCTGGACATGGATCTCTTAGTAGGGTAGACTTACTTGATGATTATGTCCGTAATCTCGCCGGATTCCGTGCGATTGTTGCTCACATTCAGATTGAGCGTGGGCGAGAGCGTCTTGTCCACCGCATCGTAGTCGCTGCTGGAGAAGACAACGCGACTGTAGATGTGTACGATCATCAGGCCCGTGGTCATGATCAGCTTGACCCGCTGCAGCACCGGATTCGCCTTTTGTTCCTCCTCGGTGAGGGATTTCAGCAGCAGCGAACCCTTGGCCTTCTCCCGCACCACGGACATGTCCACGCCCGAGCGTGACAGATCAAAGATCAGCGACAGGCAGGCCGGATAGAAGGTCATAAAGACGACATAGTTGACCAGCACCGAGAGCACCGCGAACATGCAGAGCACCTCCAGTCGCTGCACGCCAGAGAGCGTGCCCACGCCCACCAGCAGCGCCTCCACAATGGTGTCCAGCGAGATGGCCGGTCCCAGCAGCTCCAGCCCTCGGGCAATATTCTGTGTGACCTCCGCTTGGTTGTTCCCGGACAGTGCCAGCTGGGCCAGTCGCCCCGAGTTGGACAGATCGATGACCAGCAGCAGGAAGAACAGAGCATCCCTGAAAGAGCGCAAAACAGAAGGATTTATATCACATACCCTTAGAGGATTGTACGCGCGAGGTTTTACTCACTTCAGATCGGATATATCGCTGCCCAGAAACTTGATGATGGCCGTGGTGAAAATGAAGCTGGAGAAGACCGTAAAGAGACCAGCAATGCCTGTAAAAGGGAACCCAGCACACACACACATTCAATAAGTTAGAGTTCGTAGCGGAGGTCGAATCGTTTAGAGGGCACATGAGAAATGCCAGGGGAGTGTGCTACCTGTGCTACCTGTGCCCCACCCGCCTGCCTGCCTCACTAAAACATTGGCCAAACATTCCATATAGCCGGCTTTTTTTTTGGGGGCCGCATAAATAGTTTTAGGCAAACAATGAATGGCCACAGGCAGGCAGGCACTCAGGCAGGCAGTCAGGCAGAGACGGCACGGTAACATTCTAATCACTTTGGTCAACACACGTGCCATGTCCCAAAGCGGAACCCAAGACGTTGAAAGTGATGTAATCTTTGCTCTCTCTCTGTCTCTATCTCTGGGAGCTACTCACCCAACACATATTTGGAGCCCATGCGATGGAGGCTGCAGAACTGATAATAGCAATAAAGCACCGCCGTACAGCGCACCACAGTCATCAGAATGACATCGGCGGCATTGTATTCCGCCTCGAGACCATCACAGGACTGACTCCAGCCATGGCAGGGCCTGTGTCGGCTCGATGTGGCCGATGCAGTGGCTGGCATATCCATGGGTATGGCTGTGCCTGGTGCGGCTGCACCCGAAGCAGCAGTTGCGGCCGCAGCAGCCGGACCCGCTGCCGTGGCGGTGGCTGTGCCCAGGCCGCTGCTCGTGTCCAACGTGTTGTTCTTGTCCACCGTCAGCATGCAGGCCGTGATGGTCAGCAGGGCGACAATCACCTCCCAGGGATGCGAGGCACAGAACTCGCCATGGGCGCGAAACAAACGTCCAATCATTGTGGGCGAAGCGGAACCTCTATCCAAATCTCGTCCAGATCGGGCCAATCCTGGCAGGCTGTTGAATAAAATAGAAAGAAAGAGAGAAAAAACGGATGGGAAATCCGCCTGTCAGTATCGAGTTTTTCCACATTATTTAACTACAATATGTTCGAGAGCCGCCACCGCCACAAGGACGTTGCACGACGGCAGCAGTAGGGGCAGTAGGAGGCCAGTCAACTTTTGTGTGTGTGTGTGTGTGTGTGTGCTACCAGCATCAGCAGCGGCTGCTGGGAAGGATGCCCAGGGAAGGGCAAAGGAATTAACTAAAACAACTGAAACGTATCGATTTGCTTGTTGACACTTTCAAAGGCGGCCCCAGGCACACACACACACACACACACACACACACACAGAATGAGGCACAGGACCTGGCACAGGCTGAGGTTGAGGCTGAAGCTCAGGCGATAATTACGACCTCTAAGCGGCTTGCACTGAAACCAGAAAGAAAAAAACGAGGCTCCAGATGCGGAATACCCTAACCATAAGGGAGGGTTTCCTTTTTACCAGCAAACTTTAGAGAATTTTACCGGGAGTAAAATGTGGCACAGTGCCACATTTCTAGATATTTTGGCTGCTTCGTACCCATAATTTCAAAAACAAATAATAAATTTTCTATAAAAATTATTATTGGGTCTGAAATTGAAGGCACAAAACCCGCTCTTTTCAGGCTTCAAGCCTGTAGTGGGAAGTGGAATAGATAGATCTATGGAACTTCCCTAGAAACAGAAAGACAGACAAAAGGATACAGGAATCGGAGATGTTACTTTCTGTAACGAATAAGATATAGCCATTGCCATGTATAAATACCCCATAAATCATAACTGGTTTCCAGTTCTTCTTTGCTTTTGGTCCCTTTCTGTAGGATATGATGTACCTTTCGCTATAAGAAAGGGTATTTACACAGCAACAAAAAAAAGAAACTTGTTATTTACACTAAGCGGATTTTATCGTATGTCGTCCTTGAGCGTGCAACGCCTCTGTACGCCTCTCCCTACGCCATTTTATACCCATTCCCAGTCAGGTGTTAAGGGGAATCCATGATTGATGGCTTAAGCCGCTGGCTCCAGACCAAGTTCCGCATACCGCCGCTTCGTGTCGTTTCGTTTCGCTCTGGTTTAATTAAGCCATCAGTTGGCGTGGCTGAACGATCTCGCCCCTCTCGCCCACCACGTGCCCAGCATACGCAATTGTCCTGGCCCGCCGTTAGGCAATGCCCCATAAATATTCAAAGTCTGTCCAGATCTCTGTAGCTGTATGCGCCGGCGCATATTCCTCATATACATATGTATCTGGGGGTGCCTATCTTGCAGCCATAAACAATGTTTTCAAGCGGAGAAACACACACAAAAAAATGTTAAATAAATCAAATGCCACTTTGGCAGATGCCATTTGGGGCTCGGCTTGGCTTGGCTTGGCTCTGGCTCGGCTTCCAGAGAGTGTTGTATGGGATTTACGAGTGGCAGGCAATGGCTTTGGCTACGGCTTTAGATTGTGTAATCCGAAGCCTTTTGGGCCATAAACAATACCTCAGCACTCTAGAGACTGAAGAGGCGTCCTTTTGGAGTACTTGGCGTGCTTGAGAGAGCGCCTCTTAAGAGAAGAATCCACTAGAGACTGATGTACTGGATAATTCAATGGAAATTCGAATTCAATTGGAAATGGGATTTATTTTTAAAGAGCTCCCCCTTACCTTTTAATTTTTGGGGGGCTAAACAGTTCCTGAACTTTATTAATATGTTGGCTTAAAAGATTTTTGTTTCCAGTGAACAAAAAACCCGACTATGCGCGTATCCGAAGGCCCATCGTGTGTCGTGTCTCCGTTATTCTTTTCATTTCCCTATTGCTGCTGCTGCTCGACTCGAGACTGGGACCGAATCGCGTTTGAACGAATGCAAAAACAAAAGCCATGTTTTATCTCTAATAAAAGCAGTGAAACCCCAACGAATATTAATCCAAGCCCTGCCAAATTACACGTTTGATGCCATCAAGTACAAACTGCCTTTAAAATTGCAATTAGAAAGCAATTTAACCCAAAACAAAGCCAAAGTTAACTCTAACTTAAATTAATTCTAGAAATCCAAACTCCAAAACAACATCATTAGTATACTCGTATCATTTGTTGAACCCCCTCCCCCTTTGCATTTTTTGCTTCCAAGTGCACACAGCCAGAACTTTCATTAGACAGAAAAAGCAATTACATCTCTGGGGAATTCTCACTTCGGAACTGTTACAACTTTGGCCCCAAAAACTTTCACAGACATATAGTTTTTTTTTTTATAGTCATAGAAATGGATCTTGCACCCTCAAGGGGCAGCCAGGCAGGCAGTGCCAGGAACTGTGGGGTCGGTCATCGTAAAAAGTGCCCGAGGCATAAACAAATGCCTTTTTTAATATACAAAACATAAAAAAACAGAAACTCAAACTCAAACAGAAATGATGTTTCTTTGCTCTCTGTGGCTGAAATAAAAGGCCCCGCATATGAGAGCCTGGCTGGCAATTGTTGATGCTATTTTTGGTAAAGCTTTTTATGGCGAAAAAACCAACCAGCAGCAGCAGCCGTGCCGCACCGGGGGGTTGCACTGCCCAAAGGCCAGGGCTGAAAGAGTAGATCAAGATCATGTAAATGAATGAATGTGTGTGTGTGTGTGTGTGTGTGTGTGTGTGTGCCCGTGGCACTCCGAATAGAATACGTAATGTGGGATTCATCCTTGGATCTTACTTATTTTGTTGCCTTGTCTATTCTCAAAATCTGTTTTTGGCAGGGGATTGTTCAGATTTAGATTCCTAGAATGGTTCCAAATACTTTGCACTTGCCTACGTCAAAAGCAAAAACTTGTGAAAAAGCACGTACACCAAACTGGGCATCAAATGTGCAAATACTCCAAGTAACGTCCAATGTTTGACACATTTTGGGAGTTGGGTATTTCAGTCACTGATTTGTTAAATAAAGAGAACTTAAGTTGAAGTTCCCCAAAAGAAAAAACCCCATTATTGTGTTTGTTTGACCAAAGACTTATACTGATGAACAGTAGAGGAACAACGGCAGTTAACGACTGGGAATATTTACAATTTATAGATGATTACTAAAAGAAATTTATAAGAAGTTTTTCAATTTAAAAACATGACTGGGAGTTACCTCATTATCATTTCATTGCGATACTCGTACCACAAGTTCCATTAGCATTCCCACATTTGCGTAATGATGTTGGCTCCAGCCGACAGACAGATAGTTTTTAGTTCAGTTAAATAAAAACAGTCGAAACTTTTGACAGTACAGATACCCACCCGATATTCAGTTTATATAGATGGGAATATCTATGAAAAAAATTAAAAATACTGTAAGCGAAAGTGTGTTGGCCAGTGGGTACTTTAACTAGTATGAGTCTCCTCGGTAGAGAGCTACATGTGGAGTGAGAGAGGTGGTGCGCTCTTTTTAAGTAAATGAAAGCCAACCCTTTACTGCTAAGCCACACTGGGAAAGAAGAAGAGGTATTGATCGATATAGAGAAAACGCAGGTGTGAAGCGAAGGGAGTTACTTAGTATATCCGATTGATTTTAATCTCAATAGAAAGCAGAAAATACAAATTCGATTAGTGATAATATATCTTGTAAATTGTAAAATATTTCGCTTTATTTTTCGTCACGATGTCATTCGACGTATGAAAGAGAAGGTACATGCGAGGGTTTATTGACTTCTGCTTCTCTGTGAGCTTTCATTGATCGTTTCTGGTTTCTTTCCTGTCCAATTTTCTTCAATTTCCTGCCACTAATTCGCATAGCATCATCATTGAATGTAATTGAACTGCTGACTAGTCGGAAGACTCTCTGCCCGCTACTAAATTTGCAATAGAACCTAGCTCTAGGGAGAAACAACCAATTGTTGTTATTAAAAGTCCATCAAGCTGGGTGTGAAGAATGGGAACCCCAATCCCAACCCCATCCCCAATTGCCATGATGAAGTTTGGTTTTTAAAATGGAAGAAAAGTGCACGAACGAGTGTGAAATGTAAATGGGAATTGCCAAATCCGGTGTAGAACAGCAAACACCGAACCACCGAACAAATTATACAGAAATGTTTCATTTTTATTCAAATTGTTTATTTTTGGTCGTGGTTTCGTTTCGTTTCGTTTCGGTCTTTGCACCAGCCATAGCCACAGCCACAAAACAGCAATCTCTAGAACAACAATTAACGAGGGCGCCGGGTAAATTCTGAATGGCTGCTGAATGGCGAAATGCTTAAATATAGCCTCCGGTTCGAATAGAGAACTGAAAAACTGGAGAAAATAGAGGGAAAAACAATTCTGGAGGATGTCTCTCAAACGATTGGATGCTGCTGCCGCTGCTGGGGCAAGGACGGCAGCGGCGGGCAGGCAAGACCTTTTCTATTTGGCAACAAACGTTCTGCGTATTTTTGTAGGTCTGTCCGTGTGAGTTTTGCTGTTGCTGCATTGTTTTGCATGATTTTGTTGGTGTTGTAGTTGTTTTCGTTTACATTTGAAAGCACTCTCGACAGAACGGATGTTGGCGACGACCTCAACCTTATGGCTGATGCTGCCTGCCTGCTGCTGCTGTGGGTTGAGAGGGTTATTGCGGTTTTTGGAAGTGGAATAACTATTCAAATAGTTGGGGAATATACTTTTATGTAGTACACGGGCTATTCCAGGAGCAGTATACAAGCGAATTAATTTTCAAAAGAGTAAATATACCCAGTACCCAGTATACCCTGTACATATATTGCAGATAAATAGTTCCAGAAAAAAGCCATAATATACATATATGCAAATATCAGTTTAAATAGTCATAGGGATAAAAGAGCATTGTAAGATTTTTGGAAAGATCTAAAATGTTTTTGTTTCTGTCATTGTATTTATTTATCTGTTCCACTATCCCAGTGCTACAAGAATTTTTGTATACCCATTGGCTCTATTCACATGGCGAAATTATGAATAATTGGAACACAGCTCGGCTGTCCTGCATTGCCCCCAAAGGGCACACAATTGAATATCCAATTGCCA